CGGTGACGTTTCCCATGCCTTGATCCAACAAGGAGAGAGGGAGAGGTTGAGGAAGACTCCATCCAGGAGCAGCACAACGGCATGGTGGTGATGGAGGAGCGTGGCAATCCTGCAGGGCTTCGCCAAGCACCGCGAGATATGAGGAGAAAGAGAGGTAGGGCTGCGCCAACAGGAGAAGAAACTTCATGTGTTGGGCTGCCACTTTGCCTCCACTATATATAGGGGGAGGGGGGCTGCGCCCCCACCTAGGGTTCCACCTAGGGGCAGCGGCCAGCCCAAGATCCCATCTGAGGGGGCGGCCAAGGGGGAAAGAGGGGAAACTTGCCCCCCAAGTTAGGTGGGTGCGCCCCCCTCCCCAAACCCTAGGCGCCTTCGCCCTTGTGCGGGGGGGGACGCACCAGCCCACCTGGGGCTGGTCCCCTCCCACACTTGGCCCATGCAGCCCTCCGGGGATGGTGGCCCCACTTGGTGGACCCCCGGGACCCTCCCGGTGGTCCCAGTACGTTACCGATAAAACCTGAAACTTTTCCGGTGACCAAAACAGGACTTCCCATATATAAATCTTTACCTCCGGACCATTCCGGAACTCCACATGACGTCCGGGATCTCATCCGGGACTCCAAACAACATTCGGTAACCACATACAAACTTCCTTTATAACCCTAGCGTCATCGAACCTTAAGTGTGTAGACCTTACGGGTTCGGGAACCATGCAGACATGACCGAGACGTTCTCCGGTCAATAACCAACAGCGGGATCTTGATACCCATGTTGGCTCCCACATGTTCCACGATGATCTCATCGGATGAACCACGATGTCGAGGATTCGATCAATCCCGTATATAATTCCCTTTGTCTAGCGGTATTGTACTTGCCCGAGATTCGATCGTTGGTATGCCGATACCTTGTTCAATCTCATTACCGGCAAGTCTCTTTACTCGTTCCGTAACACATCATCCCGTGATCAACCCCTTGGTCACATTGTGCACATTATGATGATGTCCTACCGAGTGGGCCCAGAGATACCTCTCCGTTTACACGGAGTGACAAATCCTAGTCTCGATTCGTGCCAACCCAACAAACACTTTTGGAGATACCCGTAGTGCACCTTTATAGCCACCCAGTTACGTTGTGACGTTTGGTGCACCCAAAGCATTCCTACGGTATCCGGGAGTTGCACAATCTCATGGTCTAAGGAAATGATACTTGACATTAGAAAAGCTTTAGCATACGAACTACGATCTTTGTGCTAGGCTTAGGATTGGGTCTTGTCCATCACATCATTCTCCTAATGATGTGATCCCGTTATCAACGACATCCAATGTCCATGGTTAAGAAACCGTAACCATCTATTGATCAATGAGCTAGTCAACTAGAGCCTTACTAGGGACCTGGTGTTGTCTATGTATCCACACATGTATCTGAGTTTCCTGTCAATACAATTATAGCATGGATAATAAACGATTATGATGAACACGGAAATATAATAATAATAACTAATTTATTATTGCCTCTAGGGCATATTTCCAACACATGAGACCGCAGACGAAAGGATGAAGGGGAAACCCTAGTCCACAAAGAAAATGAGGGAAGAACACTACCCTTTCGTTGGGCTCTGGAGTGGGAATCATCTGCTTCTTGGCAGGGAGCCGATGGACTATGTCCCAGCCAGATACCCAACCTCCCGGAGTTCTTTGATGTTCTCCTCTGTAACAGAGCAGATCATCCACTTGCCCTGCGCTCCAGATCCGGACATGGCTAGGAGTGTTTGGTGGCGATGGAAAGGATCGAGATTTGGGCATTGGAGCTCGAATGACGGATGGGCAGAGGAGGAAGAAGGTGTGGGGTAAAAAGGCGGATCCTTATCTTCTTATAAAGGTAGTGGATGTCAAGCGCCCCCTCACAAGCCTTAAATCTCGCTTATTCCCAAGGGGACTGTGAACGGCACGGTTGGATTACCCAAAACCCCTATTGATGAGAATCTTGTAATAAGAGGACATGATCTCTGCTTCGACAAGATGTGTCCCTGGCCGTACCTCGAAATACGAAACGAGGTTGTAAAACGGTTCATAATAATAATAAGGCCAGAACATAACGTCTCGCCGAAAAAGTGGCCCATGGACGTGACTTATTTTAAGTATTGTTGCTTTTTACAGCTTAGGGTTGTACGTGTTAAGCAAGGCCAGACACGTGCCTTGTGTGCGGAAAACTATGTTGGAGTATTCGGAAAATGGAACCCGCCTTGCAATGCCGAAGACAATATGCACGCCGGATACATCATCATTGAAGCCTGGTTCGGGGGCTACTGAGGAGTCCTGGACTAAGGGGTCCTCGGACGTCCGGGCTATGTGATATGGGTCGGACTGATGGGCCATGAAGATACGAGATAGAAGAACCTTCCCCGTGTCCGGATGGGACTCTCCTTTGCGCGGATGGCAAGCTTGGCGCTTGGATCATGTACCTTCCTTTGTCTGTAACCGACCCTGTACAACCCTAAATCTCTCCGGTGTCTATATAAATCGGAGGGTTTAGTCCGTAGGGCAAGAACACAATCATAAAGGCTAGACATCTAGGCTTAGCCATTACAATCTTGAGGTAGATCAACTCTTGTAACCCCTATATTCATCAAAGTCAATCAAGCAGGAAGTAGGGTATTGCCTCCATGAAGAGGGCCCAAACCTGGGTAAACACCGTGTCCCCTGCCTCCTTATTACCTTCGATCCTTAGACGCACAGTTCGGGACCCGCTACCCGAGATCTGTCGGTTTTTACAAGATCGGTGAGGGGGGATGAAGCTCACCGAGAGGGGCAGGTGGTGCCTGCTGGGTTGGGGGTCGTCGACGGGGTTGGGGAGGGAAGGGGCACCG